CCCTTTTTCCTTTCTGGTCTCCATCGCTCGATACTCACCCCACGCCTCTGTGTCGCCCGACGATGCTTCAATGATAAACCAACCTCCATACAAAATCCAGGGGCTATGTTTTTCACTCCATCCCATCGCTTCTTACTCGCCCGACGCTGCTAGAGCGAGGCTCCATCGCCCGATGATGCATATCCACCGCCTGGCGCTGCAGCACGAACAAGACTTCCCTATTGCGATTTATCCATTGTACAATCCCAATTTCTACACGATTTATTCATGGTACAAGTCTCAGTTCATCATGGTTTCACTTAGTTTCATCACATAACAACAACACAGATTATCATACACCGTATGCATCAATTCTTTGCAAGAAAACATCATAATTTCACCAATTTTCATCAAAGCATCATATTGACATCATCATCCCAAAATCTCAACACAATCTACAATTATCTAAACATTAGATCAATTATAATTACAAAGATAAACCCCCTCACCTTAGATTTCTCCTAACAATTGATTTCTCTTCGTGTTCTATCAAATTCCTCTAAGTTCTTTCATGCCTTGGCTCTCTTCACAACGTTCTTCTCTTTTCACGATTGCACAGAATGAGACTCTCTTCCCTCCGTTTCTTATTTAACCTTTAGACCCTTTCTATGATCTTCCCATCTTACCCTCACTTATCCATTTATAATTTACCACTTTGACCTCATAGCTTCTACCTCTTATTATTATTCTATTTAACTAATTAAAATAATTCCAATTAATTATTCTAATTATCTAAATTATTCTAAACTACTATATACCTTCTTAATACCACCCCATCATACACCATACAAAACATCATATCAAGCATCATGATCATCCATAAATCACATAAGCATCGCAATTAAATCACAAATACTCAACATAAATTAATCAAATAATTAAATAAATAATCTAATTATTTTGGGGTGTTACACCTATTTCCACTACATGAGTCGACTTGCATTGGACCACACACATCGGAGTACACCACCCCAAGGTGATGTTTGGTCCTATGACCTCCACCCTTGTTTAAACTACACTTGTGTTGCTTCCTTTGAACAAACTCTTCACAAATATCAACTAGAGCATTGATCTTAGGCAGCCCGGTCATCATACCATTCCTTTATAGCACGTCAAGGTCTCGAAAATTGAGATGTCCAAGACGGTAATGCCACAACCACTCATCACGACTTGTCATTGTAGCAAGACACATACGTTCCATCACTTTCAACTCTATCTTGAAAGTCCGATTGACAGCCATGGGTGCTCTAAGAACTAAAACTTTGTTTCGGTGCAAAACGCGCAAAATCTTGTTTTTCATCTAAATTGTGTAATTATTCTCAAGCATTAGGCCAATACTCAAGAGATTACACTTAATTCCAGGAATGAATAGCATATATTTGATCAAAGAATGACTCTCATCCTTCTTCATGATCAAAACATCACTGACACCATCAGTCGCTAATGTGGTGTCATTCGCAAATTTTACTTTATTCTTTGTGGCTTGATTGATTTTAACAAACCAACTCTTTCTATCCGTTATATGCATTGAACAACCAGAATCCAAGTACCACTCATCACTGTCTTGGACTCCATCTCGAACAGTTACCATTACGTTTTGCTCTGAACGCATTTCTACAGCATTTTCGCATTGCAGACGCTGCTGCCCAGCCACTGACGGCTGCTACGGCTGCTGTCCAACAACTTTTCCTTGCCATAATTCTCCTCTGTGATCATGACCAGAAGTGTGTTATCATCATCCACCTCTTTTCGCACAAATTTAGCCTCATCACTTTGATTTTCTCTCGATTTTGCATTATATTCCTTTCTGAAATGACCAAGCTTATGACAATTGTAACACTTTACACTACTCTTGTCAAATTTTTTGGTGTAGTTTCCTTTACCATTACCTTTGGAGCTGCTCTCACTTCTTTGTGCCATGGAAGTCTTTGAAATTTGTGGATCTTTTCCACCAAAATTCTGGAAATTTTTCTTCCCTTTTGAAGATCATTTTCCTTTCGATCTCTTGTTTTTCTCATTGAATCGTGCTTGTAACGCAATCTCCACTTTGACTTTTTCGTTCCCTCTTTCATCCATCCTTTGTTCATGAGCCTCTAATGAGCTTTGAAGCTCCTCTTTGCTCAATGTAGGAAGGTCCTTAGATTCTTCGATTACAACCACAATATTGTCGAATCTTGACATTAAAGAACGTAAGATCTTTGCAACAACATTCTTCTCTGACACAGTTTCACCGCAAGATTTCATTTGGTTCACCAAACACGTTGTACGAGTAACGTAATCATTGATCAATTCCTTCTCTTCCATTTGCAACCATCTTGAACTGCCTCTTATGAGTTTGTAACCTCAGAACCTTTGCTTTATCAACCCCTTCATAAGCTTTCTTCAAGATCTCTCATACTTGCTTCGTCGATCCGCAATCGCCAACCTTTTGAAAGTTATCATTGTCGATGCAAGAATGTATCAAGAAGAGTGTCTTGTAGTCTTTCTTCTTCTCTTCCTTGAATGTATCATGTTGAGCAGCTGTAGCTTATGCCTCAAGTGGTGTAACACCATCGTTAACCACTTCAAGAACGCTATGATACCCAAACAAAACTTTTCTTTGTTTGCACCATTTATCATAGTTCTTGGAGTCAAGGGTTGGAAGGTTGGTAGGGATTCGATCATTGGAAATGGTAGACATATTTGCAACGTATTAATGGATCAGAACCAGACTCTGATACCAAATGTTGGAACATACACAAAATAAGTTGGTGAATTAATGGTGAAAATGGTTAATTGGAAAAGATGAAGTTACAAAGTTTTAGAGAGAGAGAGAGAGAGAGAGGGGAGAAATGTTTATAGCAACTCACAAAACAAGTTGAAACCAAATAGACCTAAGAAAACAGCTGAAAAACAAAATATCGCATTGGAAATCGATTTCCCAAAACAAGGGAATCGATTTCCTGAACTAAAAAAAAGCAATTTCCAGAAAAGCTCAGTTGTGAAAATCGATTACCCACTTTGTGAAAATCGATTTCCTCTTCGAAAATTCCAAATTTCAGATTTTCAAAAGTACTTCTCAAATAAGTTATTTTCAATGAAACGATTCATCAAACTTCCACAATATATTTGAATTATTTTAAACTTTTAATATATAAACCATACTTAGACCGAAAAATAATTTATTATAGATTAGACTCATCTTTTAAAATTTGATTTGATATATTTGTACTTCTAAGAACAATATCACTAAATAAAAATTTGGAGTATTTTACAATTATATGATCAGTAGTTGATTTAATTTTACTAAGATAAGAAGGAAAAAAAAGTTTCACAAGAGAGACTAAAATTACAAGGGGATTACAAAAATAAAATAAAAATAACTACTTGTCAAATTCAAACTCCATTTACCAAAACATGACATTAGTCTTAACAGAATTGACTTGTGAATTTCTTAAGCAAGATTTTAAATTTAAATAGTGTGAATTGAAAAAACTAATTGAAAGAAGAAATTCCAATAATTAAGATGATCGGTTAGATTTTCTGACAAAAATTAGCCATCATTGGTTATTACTTTAAATCAATAATATTACAATAAAAGATAAATTACATTCCATTTGAATGAATCTATAAATCACATTCCATTTGAATGAATCTAGGACAATTTTAGATTTTGAATTTAATAAATATACTAACAGAATATAAATTATAATCCTCAAATTTTATACTCCCACTGAGCTCATTTATAAGAAAATATTCATTTTTTAGATATATTAAATAAATAATATACTTGAACAATATATTATTTATTTGAATACGTTATTTATTCAATGTATTTAAAAAATAAATTTTTTCTCATAGACAAAATCGAAGGTACTATAAATATTTGCTCGGTTTGACTTTTAGCTGAGTAAAAAATAATTTTGAAAATGCAGAATTAATTTTAGATTATTTTAAGATGTTTGGTTAGACAAAAATAATATATTTGAACAATATATTATTTAAATATGTTATTTATTTAATATATTTAAAAAGTGAATTTTTACTTATAGATAAAACCGGAGGTAATATAAATGCTTGTTTGATTTGGCTTTTTGAAAAGTAAAAAACAATTTTGAAAGTGTAGAATTGATTCTAGATTATTTTGAAATATTTGATTAAGTAAAAATAAAATTGATTTTATTTTCAGAATTAATTTTAATTAAAGCTATAATTTGTGGTTTCTATCTCCAAAATTAATTTTGAATAATTTTTACATTAAAATTTATTATTCAACTCACTTTTATATAAATATATTCAAACGTAAATCAATTTTACTAAACTCAATTATTAATTCTATCAACCTCAACTTTACTAAAATTAATTTTAATTAATTTTGTCTATTGTCAATCCAAACACACCCTAAATTTGTGAATGATGTGATACCGTAACCATGTAAAATATTCTATATGGATAGTGCATAACTACCCTTGTGAATGGATAGACATTATCTATGAGATAAATTTGAAATTCAACATTTTAATTATTAAAAATTAAAAGTTTTATTTAAATTTGATGTCGGTCCCCTAAGTAATAATAGAGTAGTGGAGATACCCAACAAGAAATATGGATGTCACGTGATGCTTGTACGATCTTGACCCAAAAATAGATTCGTAAGAATATTAGTGTACGATCAAATTAATTTTATTTAAGGATCGATTAAACCCAAAATTAAATAATAGTATGAAATTTATTTGGTTCAAGAATCGATTAAAAAAAGAGAAAGAAAAGAAGGATGTAATTAATAATTTCAATCCCAGCAACAGCTTGATACAAATTCACAAGATATATAAAAGTACTAAGATAACGCTAATTATAAGAAGAAGGAAAGAAAAAAGATAAAACAAAATTAAAGAAACAATTATTGAATTGGATTAGTACTACATAACACGGTGCAGTTTCCGATCTGGACGCTAACCTTCATCGGAGAGATAAAGCGGTGGTTAATCGGACTTATTGTGAAGATCCAAGTGCGAATCATGATGACCGGAGACGTAATCAAGGAGATCCTTATGAATAGAAGCGTCGGTGTTGGGAAGAGGAGAGGTCTTAGCGAAGACGAAGACGAGGGCGAGGACGAGTGCGGTGGAGAGAAAGAGTGGCCAGAAATAGGTGAAGAGGGTAACCAGTTTTGGGGCCATGAGTATGAGGGAAAAGAGGGTTAGAGATAAGAGGGTTAGAGTGAAGAAATGGTATTTTAGTTTGAGGAGCTTTTCTGGGATCTTCATCAGTGAGAGTGAGTGACGCAGATTACACTTGACTTGTTTTGTTGTGTGTTTGTTTGTGTTTGTGTGTAGAGATAATCGATTAGAATTAGAATTAGATTCTCATTTCTCACTCACTCACTACTAGTACTAACTGTTCCTTTCTTTGGAATTCCATTTTCAATTTAAGTCTAATCACCGTTTTCTCCATCTAATTTTAATTAATTCATATAAATTTTTTATTTTATTCTATTTCATACCACTTTATTTTATCATATTCTATCGATTCAAATTAAATTTTAATGAAAAAATTCAATGTGTTGTTTTTTAGTGAAACGACATAAAAATTAATATAACTTTTAAAAATTTTAATTATGAGAGACAAATGAACAACCTGCAACACACATGTGTTAGTCATAATAGATAGCAAAGTTAAACATTCTAGAAAAATATGGACTATAATTTTAAGGGGAAAACTGATGAGTCGTGAGAGAGTATTCATATTGAATCAAAAGCAACTACACATTTGAGAAATATATCACACTCACATAAAACTTCAAACCAATGTTTATTTGTTCTCTCATTTATATTCAGAAAAAACATAAGGAACATGGATTGCAAAGAGAATCAAAGGAAAATGGTGGCACGTGATTCAAATGGCATGACAAACGAACTAGAGTTAGTGTTGGAAGACCAACACCGCATGCTCCAATGAAAATTTTAAGCTGAAACTGTTGGGGATTGGGGAGTCTTCGTGCACTACGAGCCTTGCAGAGGCTCTTATGCTTAGAAAACCCCGACGTGGTCCTTTTGTTGTAAACTAGGTTAAAAGAGTTTGAGATCCAGAGATTCATAAGAAATGAGGTTTTGATTGCTATCAGACAGTGGGTTGTAGAGGGAGTGGTAAAGATAGAGCTGAGGGAGTTGAAGGTTCAATGAAACACAAGAAAATGAGGGTTTGAATTGAGTTTTTAGATTACAACTTCTTGTTTCACCCAAACACAAACAACACAAATACAACAATGATAAAAGAAAACAAGTATTTTTATCATGGTTCCCCTTTAAATCGGTTAGTTCAATCCATCCGCCAAAGTGATTTCGCCTTCTCAATAAGGACTTAATCCACTAATCAAAACTTTGATTACAAACTAATGACACACAATAAAAAGCTTCTCAATGATTCTGACTATACCCTAGTCCCTCGAGGAAACTAACCAAAGGTTATGAATACAAGATTGTGTTTATAAAGATGCTTCTAAGAAATTTGATACATAAGATTTATTGCAAACAATATTTTCTAACAAAGAATGAAAGATATAAAGCTTTAGAATAATAATGGTTTTCTTCTTTGTGTAATTTCTCAATTTTTCATTCTCAGTGCGTCTGTCTTGTTATATTTTCAAACTTCGAAGACATATTTATATAGATGATGAATAGATCTGTTGAAGGGTGTAGTTGGAATATCTTTAATATTACAGCTTGCATGAAGACGCTTGATTATACCATAGTAGAGTGGCACTTACGACATAATGAGAGAGAGGATGAGACGATTGGAAAAAATGTTGGTATAATAGTACAATCATTTATCCTGATTTGTAGGATGGTAGAAAAGATATTTGATATTGTACTATTTGTGTTATGACTGTGATTTTATGATTGACAATAATTTTGATAAAACATATTTCATTTGAGAAAACATATATCACATCCAGATGTTGTGCAAGATGTTGTGACATCTTGAACAAAGGTCATAACAGATGTTGCTGCCTCTAGATGTTGAGCAAGATGTTGTGAAATCTGTGCCAACCGATATAGCAGATTCTGCTGTTACTTTCTTGATAAATTTGATTTGATTTTATGAGATTCTCTTGGATACATCTCACTTATTTGTGCAAGTCAAGAAGATTTTATTTAGAACAATTTATTTTATCTTCAGTAGTACATTAGTTTTTAAAATTAGATATGCAAATAATTTAGGAAACTTATGTTGTTTTGTTCCGAGATTCAAAAAGATTTTTCTGCATAATTGGTGCAATCATCAGCTTGTAGATCTACAACAAATTGGGCAGAGATTTCGAAGCCCGTGGACAGCTGAGGTCTTTAAAAGGAAAAACCTAAACCTAATGAAAGGTGTGAAAAATAAGGAGAAGTTATTCTATAAGAGTCTTAGGTTTTGAGAGTCTCTTAAGTGTGATTTGTTTTTATGTATGTCACTCGTGTATCATGTTGATACATAGAGTTTGACGGATTGTTCATTGTTCATTGTCAATCACTCATGAGATTTTAAGCAAAGAGTGAATTGTGTGTAATTGGAAGTGCGATCTTCTGTTTTTAGTCTTTTGTTATTGTCATTAAGGTGATTGTGGAAAGTGAGAGGGAGTTATCATATCTAGGATACTCCTAGGTAGAAGTTGCATAAGATAGTGATTAGGTGATAAGTTATAAACTAGAGTTGCTTAGCTTTGAACTAATACTATCATAATGGACTTTCTTTCTGGCTTGGATGCCTCCAAAGTAGGTGGTGTTACACTAAACTGGGTTAACAATTAATTGTATTATTTATCTTCAGTAATTTAATTTCTGCATAATTCATAATTTCTGCAAAATTTGTATTAGGTAGATGGTGTCTTAACATCTGTACTGACATTGTGTTTTGGTTTTGAGACATTGTCTTAACATTTATTTGAAAGTGTTAAAATTTCAATTGGTATCAAAGCAGACACCCTATTCTATTTTTGGGTGAGCTCCAGGAAAGATACGAAGGAGGATACAATGACAGACCACTTCTATTAGATGGTTCAAACTATCTCACTTATTGGAAGATAATTTCAAGTTGAAGTCCTGTTGTGAAGGACAAAGATGGGAATGCGTCTTTGAAGTCATAAGAAGTCTGGTCCAAAGAGGGAGATGAATTTGCTCTTGGAAATTCCAAAGCTTTAAATTCTTTATTCAATGGAGTGGACAAGAATGTCTCCAGGTTAATAAATTCATGTAATGTAGCTAAAGATGCTTGGGAAATCCTTAATACAACTCATGAATGCACATCCAAAGTGAAGATGTAAAGAGTTCAACTTCTCACTACCAGATTTGAGAATCTAAAGATGAATGATGATGAAAGAATTCAGGACTTCCATATGAATGTTCTTGAAATAGAAAATGCATCTAGTTTCTTGGGAGAGAAGATCTTAGAATAAAATCTTGTTAGAAAGACTCTCAGGTCTTTACCTAAGAAATTTGATATGAATATAACAACTATTAAAGAAGCTCATGACATTAGTAGCATGCGGTTGATGAACTTGTTGGGTCACTTCAAACTTTTGAACTGGCTATAAGTGACAAACCTGAGAAGAAGAACAAAAGTATAGCTTTTGTATCCAATTATGGAGATAAAGAGGCCTAGGTTGATTTGGATACTGAGGAATGGTTTTCAAATACCATTGTATTAGTCGGGAAGCAATTCAATAGAATTCTGAAGAGAATGGACAGAAGAGGAAGACCAAATGTCAAGAACATCTCATCTGACATCAGCAATAATGATGATTTTTTTTAGAAAAATATTAGAACTCAAGAGAAGTCCAATCAAAGCAAAGTCATTCAATGTTTTGAGTATGAAGGACTTGGTCACATTAGGTCATAATATCCCACCTATCTCAAGAAACAGAAAAAGGGACTTTTTGCATCTTGGTCTGATGATGATGAGTCAGGAGATGATTCTAACTCTGAGACTGTCAATCTTATGACTACACTCACTTAGGGAGAGTAGTCTTTGTTGTTACTTGTTATATATGCAAATGTTTAGGGGGAGAATGAGTGTTTGTCATGCTTGTTTATGGTACTTTACTTATGCTACTACTATTGTGGTGTGTGTACATGATGTCATACCATATGTCCTGTCATCTTGTCTGAAGTATTTTATGGAGAACTCTGGTTACTCTGGTTCTCTTAGTTTTTATTTGTGAGGCTTATTTTTCTTCTGCTGCATGCACCTATGATGTATGAACTTGGACAATTCATATTTATATTGTTTGGATGTTTCCTTGAGGGGGAATATTGATTATGTGTGACAGAGGGAGTAATGGACATGTATGAAGTTGTTGAGCATTATACTATGGTGCTGAGTTTGTTGAGTTGTGTTAGAGTTTGTTTGGTTGTGTTGATGTGATGTCAGACCACTTGTCTTGACATCTGATCTCTGGATATTTTTGGAGTTTGAAGAAGAGTTGTGTGTGAGGATGGGTCTCTCTGTCGCTACATTTATCTATGATGTTTTCTGTTTGCAGTTTGTACAAAGTTTACATGCGTTTTATGTAGCTTGTATTTTATTTATTTTATGGTTTTATTCCTTATATCCGGGTTTATTATGTAAATGTTATTTTAGCCAAAATTTGCTATAGAGGGAGATTTTTAGGACTATGATTTAATGATTAATAATAATTTTGATAAAACATGTTTTATTTGGGAAATTATGCATCACAGCCAAATATTGTGCAAGATGTTGTGACATCTTGAACAACTGTCATAATAGGTGTTGCTGCCTCCAGATGTTGAGTAAGATGTTGTGACATCTTTGCCAACTGATATATCATATTCTAATTTATCCCGCTAATTTTAAAAAGAAGAAGAAAAAATTAAACTAAATTACAGAAACAATTTTTGAATTAGATTAGTACTACATAACACGGTGTTGTTTCTGATCTGGATGCTAGCCTTCATCGGAGAGATAAACGGGTGGTTAATCAGACTTATTATGAAGATCCAAGTGCGAATCATGGTCATCGGAGACGTAATAAAATAGACTCTTATGAATATAAGTGTCGGCGTTAGGAAGAGGAGAGGTCTTAGTGAAAACGAAGACGAGGGCGGGGACGAGTACAGTGGAGAGAAAGAGTGGCCATAAATAGGTGAAGAGGGTTACCAGTTTTGGGGCCATGAGTATGAGGGGAAAATGGGTTAGAGATAAGAGGATTAGAGTGAGGAAATGGTATTTTAGTTTGAGGAGTTTTTTCTGGGATCTTCATCATTGG